TTGTAGGAATTCGCCCTTAGCATTTCAGAAGTATTGCATATTATGCAACACACGAGTAAGGCAAAATCAAGAACTAGATGAGCCAACTGTGGTATTGTTCTCGTCGTCAGTTGAGACAGTCAACTGACACTTAAGATAAACTGAATGTTATAATAGCGAGAGAAAAGTGGACTAGAAAGTGGGAGGGGAGATACAATTATATGTAGTTGTACCTTCCAAGCACTGACCTAGCTAGGATACACTAACACATATACCCTAACTAGCAAATATACAGTGCCAGAAACAATTGTCCGTGTGTTTTTGCATAAATTTGGGTTTTTAGGCTTAAAGACCACTATACATTAAGCCTTAATGTTTAATAGTGGTACGATTTGGGAGGGGCACATAGTGGATGTGTTCATAGAAAAAATATACAGAATAGTACATTGGATCTAACTCATACCCCAAAAGATATAAAAAGAGTACATCCGGACAAATATTTCCAAGCAGATAGAGCAAACTTCAGAACTGCGTTTCTGGTACATATCCCACTGACCTTTGGCCCTGATCACCACCCGCACCCTCCTAGGCATGTTACCTATGAGGTTACTACAAACCTCGGCAGGGAACTTCTTGCACTCTTCTTGGACCCACCATTTTGCGTAAGGGGGTGAACAGTAAGAAAATCGCGAAAAAGTTGGGCGTAGGCAAGAGTATTGTGGGCGAGGAGGAAGATTTGGCAGCAGTAACTTCAGTGGAGGCCGTGGTAATGGAGGATATGGCAGCAACAACAACAACAATGGCTACGGGCGTGGGCGCGGTCGATTTGATGGCGAATGCCACTTTTGCCACAAGACCGGCCACATGTGGAGAGATTGCTTCAGATTGCCTGATGGATGGACCCCTTCTCAAGGCCAAGAGGTCAGAGGAGCAAGGGGAGGAAGAGGCAGAGGTCGTGGAGGCCGTGGTGGTCGTGGAAGCGAAGCGGCAAGCATGAAAGGTGGAGACTACGACAAGGACTCGGGTGAAGATCGATACCCGGGCCAATTCTTCTTTGTCTCCACGCAAGCGGCAGCTGCAGCAGGAGGTGTGGAAGGCTTTGAGGAGCCAGCTACTGTGGGAAAGGTCACCCTTTACTCTCTGGACTTTTGGGTGATCGATAGCGGCGCCACCTATAGCATTACACCTCGTGCAGACTTGCTCACCGAACTCGAACCATCGCCGGTCAAGCATGTTACATCGGCTTTGAGGCAGCGAGCAGAGATGAAATGCATGGGCAAGGCCATGTTCAAGGGTGCTGATGGGAAGATGGTGGGCCTCAAGAACGTGCTTTGGGTGCCCAACTTTGCAGCCAACCTTATTTCTGTGCGGCGTTTGCAAAAGGCCAGCATGGACACACCTTCCAAGGGATCCAAAACCTATACCGCGAGGCTTGGTGAGCGGAAGCTTTGGGACCTTCATGAGGACAGGGACATCTACAATGATATGTGGCAAATCCCAGTGGTCCCCATGCCTAAGAAGAGGCAAGTGGCAGCAAGCGTCAGCACCAAGAGTGAAGTGGTTGGTGGCGGTAATCACGGAAAGCAAAGTGACACCAAGAGTGACTCGAAGGAGTGCAATCTTGGAGAGACTAGCAAGGCGTGTGAACCCAAGGAGAGTGGTGCAGCAGCCAAAGAAGGTGGAAAAGAGGAGGGGAAGGCTAAGATCAGCAAAGCAGCAGCGGCAAAGGAGAAAGGAGAGAGCTTGTGGGGCACAATTGCGAGTGCCGCTTTCTCCAACCTGAATTCCGCTACAGGAGAGTGTGATTGGCTGACCTTGCATCGGCGAATGGGGCATGTGGCATTGCCCATTTTGCAGCAGATTGTTAAGCAAGATATGGTCAGTGGGATACGTGTCAAGGGGGAGCCCAATGAGGTGCTTGGCTGTCCAACATGCATGCAAGCCAAGTTCACCCGCTACCCGTTCCATAGCTCGGAGACAACGGCGAAGGCACCACTTGATGAGGTGGTGATGGATGTGGTGGGCCCCTTGAAGCTTGGAGCTGCTGGAGCAGAGTAATTCTTCACCATTGTGGACGTCTACACTCGCATGACCTGGGTGTATGTGCTGCCGAAGAAGAGTGACGTAGCTGAAACGGTGAAGACCGATTGGTTGCCGATGGTGGAGCAGCAACAAGACCGACTTGTGAAGGCGATTCGCAGTGATCATGGGGGAGAGTTCCTGAGCAAGGATTTCTCAACTTGGCTGAAGAAGCAGGGCATAAGGCACTCTCTTACCATGCCCTACTCTCCTGCAATGAACGGCATTGCCGAGCGTGCGAATCGGACACTCACGGAGACGGCTTGGGGACTTCTCATTGAAGCCGGTCTTCCCAATTACTTTTGGCCGGATGCGGTGCGGCATGCTTGTGTGGCCAAGAACAGAGCCTTGACTCACGTGGGAGAAGACAAATGGGTGCCCTATGTGGAGTGGATTGGAAGGAAGCTCAAGGTGGATATGCTTCGGGTGTTCGGGTGCATGTGCATGGCATTTGTGCCCAAGAAACTTCGGCACAACAAGCTTGATGCCAAGGCAACATGGGCCGTGCACCTGGGCATGGCTCAAAACAGCAAGGGATGGCTTCTTTGGGACCCATTTACCAAGAAGTTCTTGGTGAGCAGAGATTGCAAGTTCATGGAGAACTTACCGTACAAGGAGTGGAAGGCGGAGAACCAAGCGAAGATTGATGTGCGCCTTGGAAAGGTGAAGAGTACCGGCTTGGAGCATGTGGAGCTGCCCTTGGAGCTTAGTAGCAGCAGTACAATCACGAGGCAATCTCCCCAAATGAATGGGGATGAGGAGGAGGAGGAGGTGCAGCAAGGTGATGAGCGTGCACCGCCACTTCCGCCTCGTGCTACAAGTGCTCGCGGTAACCGACCAGATTTACTGCAACGCCATGAGAGCATTCAAGTCCCTGCAGCAGAGGAGGAAGGAAAGGGGGAGAAGGAGGACTCAGCCCCCTAATAGGTTGAGCTATGACCGGCTTGGAGGACCAGCCAACTCAACCTTGACCGGTTCGGCTCTCATGCTAGACGATGATGCGGAAGATGAAAGCGAGGAGTGCGCTTTTGCCTTCTTCTCTCCGGTGGAGATGCCGGGGGAGCCTACAAATCCCAAGGAGGCTTGGGAGGGCCCCAATGGGAAGGAGTGGAAGAAAGCCTCAGATGAGGAAATGGGGAGCATCATAGAGAACGACACATTTGACTTGGTGAATCTACCTCTGGGGCGGAAGGCAATCTCTTCCAAGTGGCTCTTCAACCGCAAGACGGACGCCGACGGCAACATTGAGCGCTACAAGAGCAGACTTGTAGCCAAGGGGTATCAGCAGCAAGAGAAGAAGGACTACAATGAAGTGTATGCCCCTGTGGTGAAGGGTACAACCCTTCGAACCCTCTTCGCCGCGGCGGCCATCAAAGGATGGGTCGTGAAGCAAATGGATATAGTAACGGCCTTCCTCAACGGCGTTTTGGAGGAAGAGACCTACATGGAGCAGCCAGAGGGGTACAATGATGGGAGTGGCAGAGTGTGGAAGCTGAAAAAAGCACTCTATGGCCTCAAGCAAGCCCCTAGGCAATGGTACATCAAGTTGCGGGAAGTCTTGGAGGCGATCGGCTTCACTCCCTCAACGGCCGATCAATCCTTGTTCATGCTTAGCGAGGGGGAGCAGAGGAGCTTCATGGTGGTTTATGTCGATGACATCCTCATATTCTCACCCTCCTCTGACCTTGTGAAGGAGGTGATGCTGAAGCTTCAAGACAAGTTCAATTGCAAGACCCTTGATGACGTCAACTACTACCTTGGGCTTCACATTGAGCGAGATGTAGAGAAGCGGTGGATGGGAGTGCATCAAAAGAAGTACTTGGAGGCCTTGGCTGCAAACTTTGGGAAGAGTGAAGGTCATGTGGCTACTCCTCTTCCCTCAGGGTTCAAGTGTGTGAAAGGACCAGTGGAGGAAAGTGTTGGTGAAGAGGAGAGGCGGCGTTTTCACTCCTTGGTGGGCAGTCTCATGTATGCGGCCGTTCACACAAGGCCGGATGCAGCCTTTGCTACCGGGCAGCTGGCTAGGGTTGTCCAATGCCCTAATGAAGAGCAGGTAGCAGCTGGAGAGAGGGTGGCCAAGTACCTTGGCCAAACAGCAACTGTTGGACTGCAATACTCCGCGGCGGCACAATGGCGTCAAATGGGTGCGGATGGAGTCGAACCCAGGAGGCTTTTTCTCACCGCCTTCTCTGATGCATCTTGGGCATCAGAACCAGAGGATATGACAAGTGTGGGAGGCTTCATCTGCTGTGTTGGTGGAGGCCCAACAGCTTGGGAGAGCAAGAAACAAGTGGACCAAGCATTGAGCTCGGTGGAGTCCGAGTACATGGCACTTTTCCGTGCCATAAGAGAGGTTTTGTGGCAGCGGCGTTTGCTAGCTGAATTGGGGGAGGAGCAGCAAGGACCTACCCCACTCTACTGTGATAGCCAGGGTGCTATTGCATTGGCTAAGAACCCCGTTCTTCATGGCCTTACCAAGCACATGAAGGTGAAGTGGCATTGGGTGAGGAGCATGGTAACCGCGGGTGAAGTGGAGTTGCACTACGTGAAGACGACGGCGCAGCCAGCTGATATGATGACCAAGAGGCTGGTTGAACAGCAGCATTGGAAGTGTTGCAAACTTTCTGGGATGGCTCTGAACTAAGGGGAGCAGATTCTAAGGCCAACAATCCGAGGGGGAGTTTGTTGGTGCAACCCTATGGCTTGCACTCGGCTTGTCGTCCTTGTTTGTGTGTGTGCATGCATGGCATGGAATGAATTGTAAGTCTATGTCATGTTGCTTAGAGAAGGCTATAAGCAGATGATTCAATTGCTCCTTGGAAATTTCTGCAGCACTTCGTTATGACGCCCAGAAAACTCGCGACCTTCGAAAAGCTCTATCCAAAACTCCAATCGGTGAAACGATATGAAAATCGGATATCTTGTAGCTTGCAGCGTCATCTTTCCACTGAAAGTTGAATCACTCGATTCCGTAGCTTAACGAGCGAGCTATGGCGATTGGCGCACTGGGGGGTAATCTGCCCTAGGAGAAGTTGACAATCCTCAGAGTCACACTGATTGAAGCTTACAAGTTCAGAGGCATGATAGAAAAGGCATTGAAGCACAGTTGGAAGGTAGGGATGGAAGGGAAGGATGAAAGGGAAGGACCCTGGAGGCCCATGGTCAAGAACATGACAAGAGTCAAAGTCTTGACTCCCCATCCTCAGGTTCAGCCAGCCTGGCAAGACAAAATTCACACTGTACCAGGTTGGCCTCCAAACCCCAAATGCTGCAGCTGCAGGGTGGGGACAAAAGTCCCACACATGCTGGTCCCTCCTCGTTATAGGGCTCTCCAACTTTGGTGTAGCAGCTGACAAGGACTTCCAATGAGTTGTAACAAATCCATCAAACATTTCTTCGTAACTTCTTCATATGTGCTCCGATTCCAACAATTCTTGGCTCGTTGGAATGTGCTCGATGTCATGCACAAATCAAGCACATCTGCACAAGCCCAAGACGAACATGCAAAGACATGCAAACCCAACAAACCATACAAACAATGTAGCGCACAAAACACATGCAACGAAATGATGCAAACAGACGACAAGATGACGTGCAAACGAATATGCACCAACACACTCCCCCTCAGACTGTCGGCTTGTTTCGCCATCTCTAGTTCAAGGACATTCCCGCCATCCTCGCACAGCGCCAGTGTGGCTCTTCAGCTAGCCGCTTGGTAAGGAAGTCGGCTGGCTGTTGCTGAGTTTTCACGTAGATCGGATCGAGTGTCCCAAGCTTCACCTCCTTCCGCAGCCAATGCCACTTGATCCTCATGTGCTTGTTCAACCCATGAAGAACTGCATTGCGTGCCATGGCAATGGCTCCCTTGCTATCACTGAACAGAGGTGTCGCACAAGTCTGTTCATGGCCGATCTCCTTCAAGAGCCTCCTTAGCCAGATGATTTCTTTTGCCGCATGAAACATCGCCATGTACTCAGATTCCACTGAAGATAGTGCCGTCTCAGACTGCTTCTTGGACCTCCAACTTACAGGCCCACCTCCCACCATGCAGATGTATCCACCAACTGATGATGAATCCTCATGCTCAGAAGCCCACGTGGCATCAGCAAAACAGGAAAGGAACACCTTTCCTTCTCCGAGCTGCTCCCCCTTCTCTTTGACGACTTCAATTCCTTTTTGACTGAGTTGAGCAGAGGCTGAATACTGTACTCCCACTGTAGGGTATGACTTGAGGTAGCGCACCACTCTCTCCGCTGCACCACACTGCTCTTCTGTTGGATTTTGCACTACTCGAGCCAGCTGTCCCACAGCAAAGCTGATGTCAGGCCGAGTATGCACAGCAGCGTAGAGTAGGCTCCCGACCATGGATTGGAATTGCCTCTGGTCTTCACTCTCAACTCCTTCTCCTTCAGCTGCCTTTATGAGTTTGAACTCGGAAGGCAAAGGTGTGACCACTTCCCGTTCTTCCTGCAGAGAGTACTTCTCAGCCAAGGTGTTGATGTACTGTCCCTGATGCAGTTTGAGCCAGCCACGTTCAGTATCCCGCTCAATATGCATTCCCAGGTAGTACCTTGCCTCTCCAAGTGACTTGCACTTGAACTGCTCTGTGAGCTTCCGCTGCACCCCATCGATCTCCTTGTCACTGCTGCTGAAGAGCAGGATGTCATCCACGTACACCAGCAGAAGCAGAAGTGACTCCCCCTCTCCCATCAGGAACAGGCTCTCGTCGCATGCACTCGCACGGAATCCAATCCCTTCCAGTGCACTGGCCAGCCTGTTGTACCAGCATCTCGGGGCCTGCTTCAAGCCATAGATGGCCTTGTTAAGTTTGCAGACACGACCGGTTCCATCCTCATAGCCAGGTGGTTTAACCATGTACACCTCCTCTTCCACAATGCCGTACAGAAAAGCGGTTACGATGTCCATCTGCTTCACCTTCCATTTGCGCACAGCAGCTACCGCCAGCAGCACACGTAGCGTTGGAGACTTAGCAGTTGGGGCAAACACTTCTTTGTAATCTTCCTTCTCTTTCTGCTGAAACCCCTTTGCCACCAGCCTGCTCTTGTAAACTGATGGCTCTCCTTTCTCATCCGTCTTGATTTTTGCCAGCCACTTGCACTGTATTGCCTTCTTCCCATTTGGCAAGTACACCAGGTCCCATGTGTGATTCTCCATCTGGCTGTTGTACTCTGCATCTCTTGAAACGAGCCACTTCCCCCGTTGAGGCCCGGCTAGCGCATGATCCATGCTCGGAGGTTGTATTGGTGCGTAAAAGCAGTATGCAGGCTCCTCGTCATCTGACTCTTGGTCATCACCCAAGAACAGCACTGCATCTTCGCCTTGAGCCTGTTCCTGCTGCTCAGTTGTGGCTCCTCCACTTGTAGAGCTCAGCAGCTTTCTCGTTGCCATTCTGGTACGTGCAGGTAGATGGTTGGATTTACCCATTCTTTCACCTTCACCCAATCCTTTGTCCCCCCACCAATCTGTTTCCTTCGCTTTGGCAGACTTGGTGTTTTGGAAGCCTCTTGCTGCTGCTGCTCCGGATCCTTGACTTCAGCATCAGCTGCAATATCCTCATTGCTTCCTTCATCAGTACCGCTTGCCGTTGGCGCAGTGACTTCGCTGTCCTCAGGTTCGGACAAATCGAAGTGCATAGTGATCTCTTCCAGCTGCTGGGTGACCCTTGCCTCCGGCTGCTTCTCCCACTTGCCATACATGATGTTCTCCACAAATTTGACATCCCGACTGTCAAACAGCACATTCTTTGAGGGCTCCCAGAGTAGCCACCCCTTGCTCTCTGCCGCAAGCCCAAGGTGCACACACCACAGTGCAGATGCTCCAAGCTTTGTCCTGTACGGTTTAGGGACATGCGCCACTGCCATGCATCCGAACACTCTGAGCATGTCCACTGGAGGCTTCTTTCCAAGCCACCTCTCCAGCGGCACCCACATATCATCAGCCACCTTTGTGAGTACGCGGTTCCTTGCCACTGTAGCATGCCTCACCGCATGAGGCCACATGGAGTTCCCCAGCCCTGATTCGATCAGCAGCGCTCGCGCAGTTTCCAAGATGGTCCTATTAGCCCTCTCAGCAACGCCATTTGACTGAGGGGTATAGGACGTCGTTAGCTGATGCTCAATGCCTTGTTTCTTGAGCCACGCAGTCAGATCTCCTCCTAGAAACTCTCCACCTCGGTCGGTTCTGATGCTCTTGCATGGGTGCCCAGATTGTCGCTCGACCAACGGCAGCCAGTCATCTCGGATTGTTGAGGCAGCATGATGCTTTTGCTTCAACGGGTATGCCCACATCAGCCGACTCCAGTCATCAACTATTGTTAGGAAGTACCTTTCCCCCTTTCTTCCTTGAACTGGAAAAGGTCCTACCAGGTCCATGTGCACCAGTTCCAGTGCTGCCTTGCTTTTCCCAGCTACGCCGTGAAAGGGGAACCGTGTGAACTTGCTCAGCAGACACGTCTCGCACTTGGTATCATTTGGTTGCCCAGAAAGCTTCAGCCCCTTTACTGCTTCTTCCTTATGCAGTTGCTGCAGCAATGGCATAGCCACATGCCCTAGACGCCTGTGTGCGGTTTCCCAATCAGTCTCCCCCGACCTTGCAGAAACCGTCACTCCTGCAGCACTAACTGCATTGCACTCCCCCTGGACTCCAGATCCCGCCTTTACTGCTCCCAACTCCTTCTTTGTTGATTCCCATATCAGCGCAGGGATGTGCCACATGGATCTGAAGACATCTCTGTTTTTGTTTAAATCCCATAACACACGATCTCATCGCAGCCCCTTGAATGTTTTGGATCCATTGGTGGTGGTGCTGACTCCGGCCTGGCCTAGCTTGCGCAGCGATATCAGATTGGCCTTCAGCCCCGGTACGAGTAACACGTCCTTCAGCACAACCAGTCCACCATCAGGTGCTCTGAATACAGCTCGACCAACTCCAGCGATCTTCACTGCATGTCCAGATGCTGAGCGCACTTCGGAGATTGGAGGCGCTCGCACAGCATCCAGCAAATCCTTGCGTGGTGTCATTGTCCATGCAGCACCAGAGTCCATGACCCACATGTCAAGCGGGTGCAATTCTTCTCCAGCCCTTGCAACAGCTGTGCCACTGTCATCTTTGTCACACACATGGTAGAACTGTCCAGCATTCCTCTCCTCATTTCCCATTCCTCAGTCGTCCTTGGAGGTTTCTTCAGCAGGATCAGCTACCATATTGGCACCTCCATGTGGTTGCTTTCCTCCATTCCCCTTTTGCGATTGGTTCCAACGGGTCCACCAGTCGGGCTTGGTAGAGCAGCGAAACCATGGATGCCCTTCTTCCTTGCAATACCAGCACTCTCCCCTCAAGCGTGGTTCACAGTTGTCGTTGTTGGAGTGACCACCTCTTCCTCTTGCACCAGCGCCACCACGCCCCCGCTGGTTCCAAGTCCCGCAACCACCTTGGTTGTAGTAAGAGCGACCGCGATTGCCACGCCCTCGATCTCTCCATGTCCCTTGCATGGCATAGCCGCTGGTGCTGTCATCACCTCCGCGCAGTGTATAGCGACGAAAATCTTCTTCCAGAATCTTAGTGCTAATCCACTCCAATGTCCATTGACTTTGGTTTTGTGGCAAGCTGAGTCCGCTTATAAATTGCAGCCAAGACTCGGGCAGCAGGCTGAGCATCTTGAGACACTTAGTCTGCTCGGGGTACGTGATGCCAGCAATCGCCAATTTCGCGTAGAGTTCCCTCATCTTGTCCAGTACGGGCTGCACAGGTTCATTCTCGCTCAACCGCAGCATGGACAGCTCCCGATCCAGCATGAGAGAAGCGGCAACCGATGTCGGAGCGTGCAGGTCCTTGAGCACTGCCCATGCCTTGGGCCCACAATCAGTTTCCGGTAGCAGATGCATGATGTGATGCCTCTGGTTCAGCTCCAAGCTTTGTGACAGTACATAATACCCAGCAGATGAACGTTCATCCCAGTCCGCTCGCTCTGTTATTTCCTTTGGCCTGGGCTCCGTTCCAATCATGAGCTTCAAGAGGCCAATTTGTCGAAAGTAGAGCTGCATCTTCCATGCCCAATCATCATAGCCATCTCCAGAGAACTTCTCAATGGTGAAGTTCTTCAGCACCTCCTTAAGCAGTGACCTCTGACTTGTACGCGCTCCCCTTTGCGCTGCAATGCCAGAATCTTGGGTTGAGCTGCCTCCTTGGACTGAAGTATCACCTCCACCAGAGTCCTCTTTATCTCCCATCGTATTTTAGGTCCCAAATGCGTGATAATAGGCTCTGATACCACTTGTTGGTCAGAGAAGACTATAAGCAGATGATTCAATGGCTCCTTGGAAATTTCTGCAGCACTTCGTTATGACGCCCAGAAAACTCGCGACCTTCGAAAAGCTATATCCAAAATTCCAATCGGTGAAACGATCTGAAAATCGGATATGTAGTAGCTTGCAGCGTCAGCTTTCCACTGAAAGTTGAAGCACTCAATTCCATAGCAGTGAGCTATTGCGTTTGGCGCACTGGGGGGTAATCTGCCCTAGGAGAAGTTGACAGTCCTCAGAGTCACTATAATTGAAGCTTACAAGTTCAGAGGCATGATGGAAAAGGCATTGAAGCACAGTTGGAAGGTGGGGTAGGAAGGGAAGGATGAAAGGGGAGGACCCTGGAGGCCAATGGTCAAGAACATGACAAGAGTCAAAGTCTTGACTCCCCACTCTCAGGTTAAGCTAGCCTGGCAAGACAAAATTCACACTGTACCAGGTTGGCCTCCAAACCCCAAATGCTGCAGCTGCAAGGTGGGGACAAAAGTCCCACACATGCTGGTCACTCCTCGTTATCGGGCTCTCCAACTTGGTGTAGCAGCTGCCAAGGACTTCCAATGAGTTGTAACAAATCCATCAAACATTTCTTCGTAACTCCATATGTGCTCCGATTCCAGCAATTCTTGGCTCGTTGGAATGTCCTCGATGTCATGCACAATCCAAGCACATCTGCACAAGCACAAGATGAACATGCAAAGACATGCAAACCCAACAAACCATACAAACAATGTAGCACACAAAACACATGCAACGAAATGATGCGAACAGACGACAGGATGACGTGCAAACGAATATGCACCAACAGGTTGCACTCTCTGCAATGCCATTCTGCTGCGGGCTTTCGGGGAGCGTGAAGGTTTGCCGAATCCCTTGGGCCGCACAGAAGTTATCGAGTTTGCCATTGCGAAATTCTCCCCCGCCATCAGAATGGAGGCACTTCAGAGGAGTGCCGAACGTGACTTGAGCCTGGCGCACCCACGCCATGATGACATCAGGTGCCTCCGCCTTGGTATGCAGGAGGTGCACAGAAACATACCGCGAGTGGTCATCGACTAGTGTAAGAAAGTACCGATGACCGCCTCGGGATGCGACTGGAGCTGGGACCCAGACATCCATATGCACTAGGTCCAGCGGAGCAGCTGCGACGGATGGGGAGGAAGGATGCGGCTGCTGCCTGAGCTTGCTCTTGGTGCAGTCCAGGCAGGTGGGTGCAGGTGAGTCTGTTGGTGGAGGAAGCGCCGACGGGAGGCCAAGAAGAAGTTTCTTGGAAGCGATGTCGGCAAGTGTACGGAAGTTGGGGTGACCCAAGCGATGGTGGTAGAGGATGGTTGGGTTGGCGAAGCTGCGACACGAACACGGAGTGGTGTTGGCAGCTTGCGCTTGGGAGAGGGCGGCGAGAGGTGCAGGTGAATGCAGCGTGTAGAGCTTGCTACTGTTGAGTGTGAAGCGTGCTAGGAGCTTGTTGGACTTAGGGTCGAAGAGGTCACAGTGATTCGAGTGTGCTGGAAAGACCGTAGTGACGCCTGCCCGTTGGAGCTCGTGTTGGGCCACGAGATTGTGGCGTAGTGTGGGAACACAGATGCCAGTCACATTGCCCGAAGGAAAAGCTGGGCACGGAACTGTGGAGGAGCCCTTGGCGTGTGTTGTGAAACTGGAGTCTGCTCCAAGTAGACGGATTGGTGTCTCGTATGGCTTGAAGGAGTGTTCTTCCTTGAGAACCGTGTGAGTGGCCCCACTGTCGAGGGTGAACTCTATTGTGGCTGAGGTGCTTTGTGAGCCAGGATACTGCGAAATCGTCTCATTAATCATGGCAGTGCCAGGGAACAATATGTTGAGGCGCACATCAGCAGGTGCAGCCACAGCAGCCTGCACGGATTCCTGCGCTTCGTCTTGATTGACTTGGCAAGGAGCACGATTGACCATCCAGCTTGGCAGCTTCGAGGCGGTCCCATTGACGGCATACCACTCGTCATCCTTCTTCTTAAAGCAGGAGGCAAGGGCGTGGTTGGTGCCGCCACACACCTGGCTAGCACGAGGGCCGCGGTTGATGACGTAGGGACACGGGGGGAAGCGGTTGCACTGGAATGGCGCCGAAGCGGCATAGGCTTGAGGCACGGGAGCGCGGATTGCATTGGCCTTGGCTTGAGCGCTGTTGTCCTTTTCGGCAGAAAGGAGCGCGGATGAGACCTTGGCAAATGTGAGGTCTGCAGGAGCAAGGCCCAAGAGCATCTTGCGTGTGACTTCGTATGCCGGAGTGAGGCCGACTAGGAGAGCGGCTGCAGGGGCTTGCTCGGGGAAGACTATCCCCAACTGCTTGAGTTCACCATGAATGGACTGCACCTTGGTGACATAGTCTGCCATGCCTGGCGAGTCCTCGAGCCGCACTTGGAACATGCTGGGGATGAGTATAGCAACTCCCACTTCAGTCTTGTTCAGGAAGCGATCTTCGAGGTAGTTGTGGTAGGTTTCAACGAGTTCGAGAGGAGTGGTGCCCATGAAGACACTAATGACCGCACCATCGGCCTTCTCCCAATTCTTGTACTTGAGCAGTGCAGCAGCATAAACTGCTTCGGCGGCGGCATTAGCTGGATCGGCGGACCTCTCGGGTTTAGGAGGCTCTTTGTCGTCACCGATGTTGAGAAGGACGTCGGTGAGCTCGAGCCCCTTCACCTCGCGACTGAGGAGGTGCTTGTCGACACCATAGCGCCAAGCCTTGTAGTTGGAGCATGTGCCGTCCGGCTCGAGACGAAGGAGCGGGATCGGGTTGGCGAGTGAAGTGGTTGAGTAAGCCATTGTCGGTGTGCAGCGCGGCACTTCTCGAAATTGGTCGACGAGAATTGCTGAAAATCACTCTGACGGCTTTATCAAAATGCTGCTAAGTAGGAAATGGCGTCGGAGAAAATTCGTTAAAACGCCGACTTGAAACTGAATCTGAGCCTATGTCTAACCCCGGACCCACACACCCCCCCACACACCCCCAGGCCCTGTCCCGCAGCTACACAGCTCCGCAACCAGCTCCGCAACCAGCTCCGCAACCAGCTCCGCTCCGCTTCAACCTGTGTACCTGCTCTTGCTTGACGCGAGACGTTCGTGGAGGCGATTTCGCGAGGGGAGTTCGCCTATTCTGGCGGGGTCTGAGGGGAAACTCGAGAACGAGTTTTAAGAGATGGTCGAAATTGAGATTCGACCAAGGAGAACCGACGAGGAAATCGACGATGAGAAGCGTGAAAGCTTCAGAGATGAGAAATTCAACGAGGTCGAGCGCGAAGGCGGTCGACGATGAGAGGCGCGACTGCAGAGTGGAGCATGTCGAAATTCCGACGACTCGAAACGAATGTCGCGACGATGAAGTGCACGTAGCGCGGGCACGTTGAAATTAGGACCTTGATCCGCGTGTGTGGATAGGTCGCTCTGATACCATGTAAGAAATAGAGTTGAAATGATTGATTAGGTAAGGAGCCCAAGGCTCTATAAGTACATGGCAAGGTGAGAGAGAATGGATGAAGGGGGAATTGGAGGGAATCCCCATTGGGATCTCCGGAATCTCCAATAGGGTAATTGGAGATTGTGGGGATCACAATTGGGTGAGATTGGGATTTGTGAGTTTACCCCAACCCACTAGAACATTCACAACCTAAACTAGGATATAAAAGTACAAATACAAAAGTGGTATTTGCAGTCTATTTCTAACACACCCCCATAGACTGCAAACCCGGTCAAGGAGCACATAGTCCCATGGAACGGAGAAGGCGATGGTGGTCAGCCTTGCCGAGAGCATTGGTAAAACCGTCAGCTGGTCACTCTGAACAACATCTGGGATGAAGAAATGACAAAGTTCGATGTGCTTGGTGTGAGAGTGGAACACAGGATCCTTGGTGAGATGAATGGCAGTCTGGTTGTCACACCACAGGGTGGGCGACTGCTGGGGGTAGCCTAACTCAGCGAGGAGAAAGGAGAGCCAGCGTGCCTCTTGAGCAGCCATTGTGCCCGCGTAGAGCTCGGCCTCGCAGGACGACAGGGCGACTGCAGAGGACCGAGTGGAGCGCCAGCTGATGACTCCGCTACCAAGGGTGAAGCAGTACCCTTGGGAGGAGCGTCTGTCAGTCTGGTCATCGGCCCATGAGGAGTCTGTGTATCCCTCGAGCTTGACTGGAGAGGTACCACCAAGAGTGAGGATGTGAGACTTGGTGGCTTGTAGATAGCGGAGGACCCTCTTGGCTGCAGACCAATGCGAGGCAGTGTAGCGTCCGGGGGAGACGTACCGAGAGAGGACACTAACCGGGTAAGCCAAGTCTGGTCGAGTGCACATCATGGCATACATGAGTGAACCGACTAGCTCAGGGTACGGGTCCTTGCAGGCGTCAGGAGAAGGAACTGGAGGGGCCGTGAGCTGATGCTGTAGTGAGAGTGGAGTGGAGACAGAGTTACTGGAGTCCATGTCGAACCGCTTGAGAAGGTTGTCGATGTAGGACTCCTGGGAGAGGGTGATCGTGCAAGCCTGGCGGTCACGAGTGATCTCCATCCCCAGGTAGTTCTTGAGGTCACCAAGATCCTTCATGAGAAGGGCGGAGCTGAGAGCAGACTGGACAGCTGCCA